TTATTGAATGAAACGTTTTTCATTATCTTAGAAAAACATTAAGAGAAGGTTTATATAATGGGAGAATTGAACGTTTGAATAACGTTCTTATAACCAAACAAGAACGTTAATACAATGTTTATATAAAGGGAGAATTGAACGTTCTAACGTTATTATAACCAGGAAATAACATTAATACAACGTTTACATAACGGGAGAATTGAACTTTCTTATAACCAAGAAATAACGTTAATACAACGTTTACATAACGGGAGAATTGAACTTTCTTATAACCAAGAAATAACGTTAATACAACGTCTAAAAAACTGGACTTTTTGAAATTCCCTAGAACATTCAGAAATGAGCAGAGGGATTCACGTTTGGCACATCATATTCCGCGCGCGAGCAGAGAGATTCACGCTCGCGCATAATATTAATGTACTTTCGCGCTACAATAATGCGCTCTCGACATTTGATAGGATAATAACGCCATTTCAGAACAGTTCGTAACAGATGCGTTCCTGTCACACATCACACACGCGCACTTCAATAACCCGACAGAAAGCAGATTCATGCGTTTACATGCTGGGTGAAATCGGCAAAAATCCAGCTGTGACGATCGGTTTATGCTTGAGACGATTATGACTCCGATAAAGGAAAACAGGTTAACATGATCATGTGCATTGTCAGCTTATTAATCACAATTGGGTTATGACCAGATACTCTGTGTCATATACATTAAGTATAAAATAACTGAAAGTAGTGCCCATAGATGTCTGTCTAATGTAAAACCTTGATCCTGAAGCAGAACCAGATCAAATCAATCTCCTCTATATTGTTACCTCTCAGTGAAAGCAAAGCATGGATCCACTCGGTGCACAGGTGTGCAGAAATATGAAGATGTCAGAGCGATGACAGCGCACTATGTCATAACCTTTCCCTTCATCTCACGCTTTAATCTCACCGGAGAGTGACGGGCGGACTAGGCTCTCTCCATTCCCCTTTTCCTTGTCTGTCGCTTCCTTTCAACCTTTTCTGAGCTCAGAATTTCTCTAATAACTAAAAGCAGTTCCTTTTCTCATCCCTCATATTCAATAGCTCTCAAAAAAGAAAAGAAATGGCCAGTGATGCATTCAGGATTATCTTTAATTCCTGTCCAGAAGAGAGCATCGTGTGCTGTCAAACGAGACGGTTTTCCACGAAGGAGTGTTAAAGCGTCACATTAAGGGCTCTAATGAGCGTATGAGACGTGTTCCTGTGGCTGTAAGTGACGGAGGAATGATGGAGTCACTTCTTCTCCAGTCCAACTGAGAACATGACAATGAAGCGCACAGATCATTTCATTCCAGTCTGACAACCAATAAGAGTGACCTGAAGAAACCCACAAGGACGCATCCGTAATGAGTGCAGAATAATGAGTTCAGGTTTCTAGGGGCATTGCTAGATTGTTCAAGGTGGTTGCTATGGCATTGTTAAGGTGCTCTGGGTGGTTGCTATGGCATTGTTAAGGTGCCCTGGGTGGTTGCTATGGCATTGTTAAGGTGCTCTGGGTGGTTGCTAGGGCATTGCTAGAATGTTCTGAGTGGTTGCTAGGGCGTTACTAGGGTTTTCTGGGTGGATCCGATCGTGAAAAGACCAGGTGTAAACGCCTTCCGAAAACGCTTTCGAGATGGATTTAAATCCGATCACACACACCACTTCAGGAGGCGGTCTGAGACGCATTCTGGACGAAACTGGAAAGTATAAATGCATCTGGTTGTCACAACCACATATGTAAATTTTACTCCTCCCAAATATTTATATATATATATATATTAGGGGTGTAACGGTACATGTATTCGTATTGAACCGTTTCGGTACGTGGCTTCCGGTTCGGTACGCATACAAACCGAACGATTCCTTGGACCATTTTTCCTTCCGACAAAATCCGCGCTGGCGCGATCACCACAACGTTGCGCAACATCAAATGGCAAGCGTAATGAAAGCGGAACGAAACTGCGCTTCTCATTATATTGTGCTTAACGGACCATTTAAAAGTTCGGACCAGCAACATCTGTGCAGCGCGAGATCAAGCGACACAGCGCTAAGAGATCCAGTGAAGCAAACATTTGAATTCGCCACTGAAGTAATAACATCGCTGCGAGATCTAGTGCGAAGCATTCACATTTCTCCGTTATTAACCGTAGATCTCTATTAGATCAAACAGCGCTGACGTGGAAACCAGGAGAAACATTGTGCCGTGAATTAACTAGTTATAGGCTTTAAGTCCACAGATCAGCAACATTCACCATGGATTTAATATAGTAACATTAACTGTAACCAGTTTGGCTGGAATAGTGAAATGCTTTCAAGTACTTCACACATCTTTTTCCAGCACTTCAAAACTCAAATATTATCTATATATTATATATATAAATATAGGCCTATCTTTAAATGTTATTTTTAATGTGATGACCAAAACATTATTTGTTCATCCTTCAAAGATTACCCCCATTTATAAACCTGAACGTTTCAAGATGTAGGAAAACTCAAACTTATTTAAAAAATATTTTTTATTTTAATAAATAGGAAATTTCTCTGGCATTTCTTTCTTTTTGCTGTATCGAAAATGTACCGAACCGTGACACCACTGTATCGTATCGAACCGAACCGTGAATTTTGTGAACTGTTACACCCCTAATATATATATATATATATATATACACTACTGTTCAAAAGTTTGGGGTCAGTGAGAATTTTATTTTTATTTTTTGGAGGAAAGAAATCAATACTTTTATTTATCAAGGAATAATTAATTTGATCGAAAGTGACAGTAAAGACATTTATAATGTTACAAAAGTCTTTTGAACTTCCTATTCATCAAAGAATCCAAAAAAAAAAAAAAAAAAAAAAACTGTACAACTGACAGACCAACAACTGTTTCAACATTGATAATAATAATAAATGTTTCTTGAGCATCAAATCCTCATATTATACTGATTTGTGAAGGATCATTTGACACTGAAGACACTGACACTGGTGATGCTGAAAATTCAGCTTTGATCACAGGAATAAATTACACTTTACTATATATTCACACAGAAAACAGCTGATTTACACTGGAATAATATTTAATACTATAACTGATTTTTGTTGTATTTTTAATCAAATAAGCGCAGCCATGGTTAGCAGAAGAGAATTCTTTTAAAAGTATTTAAAATCGTACCGACCCCAAACTTTTGAACGGTAGTGTATATACACAAACACATGTATAAATATATACCTATCATTATAATAATAAACGCAACTTTCACACGCATTTGATTGGCATGTAAACTGTGCGCTCCTATCTCAGTGTTGTTGTTAAATTGCAAACAGTTTGCTTCGTACATTCAGATTAACAAGTTAAACAGGGCAAATGTTATTCAACTGAACTGTGTATATGCATTTTAAACACAATATGTTCTTCGTCTATGCAATAAATGCACATTCTGAATGAGCGTGGTTTTATAGCGTATTCAACAGCTCATGTCGTGTTAATGGTATGAGCCATTGCAGGGGTGGCCAAAAATGCCAGAAATGTATCTTCACATTTACAGGAACGTTTCATATTACAGGTAAACTACTTTCTTCACCCTGATGACAGCACTACTGCAACACGCATGCTTTCATTGACGTGTACATTAAATTTGAATATAGCGCGGGAATTGAAGATAGGATTTACACTCACCGGCCACTTTATTAGGTACCCCATGCTAGTAACGGGTTGGACCCCCTTTTGCCTTCAGAACTGCCTCAATTCTTCGTGGCATAGATTCAACAAGGTGCTGGAAGCATTCCTCAGGGAGTTTGGTCCATATTGACATGATGGCATCACACAGTTGCCGCAGATTTGTCGGCTGCACATCCATGATGCGAATCTCCCGTTCCACCACATCCCAAAGATGCTCTATTGGGTTGAGATCTGGTGACTGTGGAGGCCATTTTAGTACAGTGAACTCATTGTCATGTTCAAGAAACCAATTTGAAATGATTAGAGCTTTGTGACATGGTGGAAGTAGCCATCAGAGGATGGGTACATGGTGGCCATAAAGGGATGGACATGGTCAGAAACAATGCTCAGGTAGGCCGTGGCATTTAAACGATGCCCAATTGGCACTAAGGGGCCTAAAGTGTGCCAGGAAAACATCCCCCACACCATTACACCACCACCACCAGCCTGCACAGTGGTAACAAGGCATGATGGTTCCATGTTCTCATTCTGTTTATGCCAAATTCTGACTCTAACATCTGAATGTCTCAACAGAAATCGAGACTCATCAGACCAGGCAACATTTTTCCAGTCTTCAACTGTTCAATTTTGGTGAGCTCTTGCAAATTGTAGCCTCTTTTTCCTATTTGTAGTGGAGATGAGTGGTACCCGGTGGAGTCTTCTGCTGTTGTAGCCCATCCGCCTCAAGGTTGTGCGTGTTGTGGCTTCACAAATGCTTTGCTGCATACCTCGGTTGTAACGAGTGGTTATTTCAGTCACTGTTGCCCTTCTATCAGCTCGAACCAGTCTGGCCATTCTCCTCTGACCTCTGGCATCAACAAGGCATTTCCGCCCACAGAACTGCCGCTCACTGGATGTTTTTTCTTTTTCGGACCATTCTCTGTAAACCCTAGAGATGGTTGTGCGTGAAAATCCCAGTAGATTAGCAGTTTCTGAAATACTCAGACCAGCCCTTCTGGCACCAACAATCATGCCACGTTCAAAGTCACTCAAATCAACTTTCTTCCCCATACTGATGCTCGGTTTGAACTGCAGGAGATTGTCTTGACCATGTCTACATGCCTAAATGCACTGAGTTGCCGCCATGTGATTGGCTGCTTAGAAATTAAGTGTTAACGAGCAGTTGGACAGGTGTACCTAATAAAGTGGCCGGTGAGTGTATATTCGTTTATATTCGCGGAGACACATTTATGTGGTCAAGTGTAAAAAGAACCATTTTAACAAATCAGATATCTATCCTATCAGTACAAATCCTATCATGCACGCACACCTAGCTTTGTAAGGATATGAGTGAGGTCCTTGTCGTGGTTGTCTATGGCGGACTGAAGCTGGTCTTCCAGGTAATGCAGTCGGTTACTGATGAGTTCACAGCGCTCCGTCAGCTCTGAAGTCTCTCCACACAGATCCTGAGACACAAAACACACCCATAATCATTAAACCTGCAAAACACTGTTGCTCACACACATCTTTAGTTGGTCAAGTGTGGCCAAGGCCTAAAATGAACACGAGCAAAACATTTTCAATCGCCAAAAGAGTCAATCGCCAGTTGGCCTGTAACATTTCTAACAATTCTAACAATGCAAAATTGTGAGAACGTGAACGACACTCACACAATTTGCCAAATTAAATATTCAAGCTCAAGAAGATGCGAAAGGGAACTCAATTTGTTACTCGCTTCACTATTCGAAGCACGCGCACGATTACTGAAAAGAGCTCTCTTTCACATCTTCTTGTGCTGGAACAGACATATTCAAACTAAATTGCGTAAACATTTCAGAAATAAAACACACGTGTAACAGTATACTGGATCTGTGCATTAGCTCTTAAAGTGACAGCAGCCTAATATTCCTGTGTCAATGTTAATCAAACAACAAAACACAAAGAACAATCACTCATTGCTCTTGACTACATAACTTTTATAACTTTAATAAGGATTAATCTGTTTCATGGCTGGTAAAAAAATATTCATTATATGCTTTCGACATTTTATTAGTTAAAAAAAAAAAATGCTATTTAGGGTTTAATTTATTTTCATTTCAGTTTTAGCTTTTTTTTTTTTTTCAGTTAATAATTTTAGTGCTTCAACTTAAGATTATTTCAGTTGATTGCCAAGGCAAGCTTCTCAACTAATATTTGTTTACATTTTATTTTATTTGAGCTTCATTTCAATTAACAGAAATGTTTTTAATAGTTTTAGTAAATGATAATAACCCTGTTAAAGATATTAATAAATACCTTAAGAGTAAATCAATAATACTAAAATAATGATTTGTATGTTTTGAGTAACACTTTACAATGAGATTCATTAGTTAACATTAGTTAACTACCTTAGTTAACACGAACTAAGAATGAACAATACTTCTACAGCATTCATTAATCTTAGTTAATGTTAATTTCAACATTTACTAATACGTTATTAAAATCAAAGGTTGTTTTTGTTAACATTAGTTAAAGCACTGTGAACTAGGGCTGGTCCGAATACCATTTTTTGAGCTTCGAAGCTTCGGTAGTAATGAACATCGAATATTCAAAGCTTCGGAATCTCTATATGTCTGTCTGTCCGTTTGCATTTTGATTATTTAGAGAATAATGCTAATAATGTTAACTAATGTTAACTAATGAACTTTATTGTAAAGTGTTACCATGTTTTGTAAACATAAACAAGGGATACAATAGATTGCGATGCTTTCCATATGATGTTTTTACAAGCAACTGAGAAAAGCAAGCGCTAACGGGGTCAGTCATGAAAAATAGTGAAACTATCCTTAATCTCTACTTGCAAATCTTAAGCATAAAATGATCACGTTAAAACCGTCATCGACTGTCAGCTCCTCTTCCTCAGTTCCCCTCATAAGACTCCTGAAGTGACAGTCTGTACCTCCGTGATGCTAATGGCTTGACTCAACAGTTTAGCATGAGGCAGGTAACTGGGACAGGTCCACACGGCCGGCTCTGTCCCAATTCCATCAAACCGTGATCCACTGTTTTCCTCCTGCGCTCCGAGTCAGAGAGCGTCTTAGTTCACCCAAAAATGAAAATGATGTCATTAAATGGATAGTTCACTTTGAAATAAATTTTTGGTATGTTTTAGCTTACCTCAAGGGCATCCAAGATGTAGGTGTCTTTGTTTCCGCAGTAGTTTCAATTTTGATATTTTTAGGTCAAACCGTTCTTGTCTGTCAGTCATATAATGCAGGTCTATGGTCACCACCTCAAAGAGCATGCACAGAGAAGTCCAAATTAAACATGATTTAATGACTCGTAAATGTAAGTACACATTGATGGCCTAAGACACGAAACGAGCGGTTTGTGTGAGAAAACGAACAGTATTTATATCGTTTTTACCTCTTGTAACCACAGCCGCGTCCAAGTGATCTGAGGGCGCGGGCGCTTCGGTCTTTTCCGGAAAGCGCCGGAAGTGAAACCTCGCGCGTTTCGTGTCTTAGGCCATCAATGTGTACTTACATTTACGAGTCATTAAATCATGTTTAATTTGGACTTCTCTGTGCATGCTCTTTGAGGTGGTGACCATAGACCTGCATTATATGACTGACAGACAAGAACGGTTTGACCTAAAAATATCAAAATTGAAAATACTGTGGACACAAAGACACCTACATCTTGGATGCTCTTGAGGTAAGCTAAAACACACCAAAAATTAATTTCAAAGTGAACTATCCCTTTAATGACTCTCCCTCATGTCGTCACAAGCCCGTCAGACCTCCGTTCATCTTCAGAACACAGTTTAAGATATTTTAGATTTAGTCCGAGAGCTTTCTGTCCCTCCATTGTAAATGTATGTACGGTATACTGTCCTTGTCCAGAAAGGAAATGAAGACATCATCAAAGTAGTCCATGTGACATCAGTGGGTTAGTTAGAGTGTTTTGAAGCATCGAAAATACATTTTGGTCCAAAAATAACAGAAACTAGGACTTTATTCAGCATTGTATTGTCTTCCGGTTCTGTTGTGGATCCGCGTTCAGTGCCGCTGCTGACGTGTGTCTGGTGTGTCTGGTGTGTGTGTGTGTGTGTGTATTCGGGTTCTGTTGTGGATCCGCGTTCAGTGCCGCCGCTGACGTAAGACGCTGCTGACGTGTGTGTGTGTGTGTCTGGTGCGCCCGAGCTTCGTTTACAGTCTGAGGGAGACGCACGCTGGAAACAAAACAATCTTCACAAACATGTCTAAGGATTTCCACACAGAGGAAGACTTGCATTTTTTTGCCCAGCCATATTTATTTGAACCCGAATACACGGACGCACCAGACACACGTCAGCAGCGTCACTGAACGCGGATCCACAACAGAACCAGAATACACACACACACACACCAGACACACGTCAGCAGCGTCTTACGTCAGCAGCGGCACTGAACGCGGATCCACAACAGAACCGGAATACACACACACACACACACACCAGACACACGTCAGCAGCGTCTTACGTCAGCGGCGGCACTGAACGCGGATCCACAACAGAACCAGAATACACACACACACACACACACCAGACACACGTCAGCAGCGTCTTACGTCAGCGGCGGCACTGAACGCGGATCCACAACAGAACCGGAATACACACACACACACACACACACACACCAGACACACGTCAGCAGCGTCTTACGTCAGCAGCGTCACTGAACGCGGATCCACAACAGAACCAGAATACACACACACACACACACACACACACACACACACACACACACCAGACACACGTCAGCAGCGTCTTACGTCAGCAGCGTCACTGAACGCGGATCCACAACAGAACCAGAATACACACACACACACACACACACACACACACACACACACACACCAGACACACGTCAGCGGCGGCACTGAACGCGGATCCACAACAGAACCGGAAGACAATACAATGCTGAATAAAGTCCTAGTTTTTGTTATTTTTGGACCAAAATGTATTTTCGATGCTTCAACACACTCTAACTAACCCACTGATGTCACATGGACTACTTTGATGATGTCTTTATCTCCTTTCTGGACAAGGACAGTATACCGTACACACATTTTCAATGGAGGGACAGAAAGCTCTCGGACTAAATCTAAAATATCTTAAACTGTGTCCCGAAGATGAACGGAGGTCTGACGGGCTTGGGACGACATGAGGGAGAGTCATTAATGACATAATTTTCATTTTTGGGTGAACTAACCCTTTAATGGTAAAATATGGTACCGGAATTCATACACAAACTTTTCCCAATCATTACCCATCATAATTTATGATCAAAACCTTTTCTAATCTTGACAAAACACATTGTGAGAAAGTTCTGAGTCAAAAAAAAGTTCCATATTTTGTGACAGAAGTGATATTTGGACAGAAATTTATTAATTTGTTACAACAGAATGCATACAATTAAATTAAATGGAATTTATGTCATTTTTGGTATTACGCCTAAACAAAATCTCATGGGAACTTCAATTTTTGTGATATCAACTTCAAATTTGGAACACAACTTGGTTAGATATATGGCTTTGATTTTATAGTAAAAAATATTTTGTAAAATATATATTTTATATAAAAGAAAAAATATTAAGTACAGTATATTTGATTTAATGTCAATTTAAAACTTCCATAACTTTTTCATACTTTTATTTTTTTAAGTGCTTTCACTTCAGCAATAATCTGCTGGGTGTTTTCTTTAAAACATTATTCCAAAGCAAGTATTAATAGTGCATTGTAATGTCCATTCTCAAAAAGGGGGGTGACAGTTAAGCGTTATGGGCCAAATCAACCGTTTGGTTGAGCATGTTTTTGAAACATTATTAAAAACATACTTAATTTTTCATGGCACCAAGTAACATAATTTTGTAAAGTTAGGGCTCTTACAGTGTAATATGTAAAATAAATATGCTTAGTTTGCAAAATTTCACATGGCTGGGGTGATTTATTTGTTTCTGACATCCATGTTAGAAGAAGTGTTGTGACAAGTGCTGTTGATTGACACTGTGACATCTAGTGGATTTTTTTTTTGGCGTAACATACCTCAACCAGATGGTAGAGATGGCTCAATCAGTTTTGAGTTAAGTTAGATACTCCTCTCAATAAAATATAGTGACTCAAAATGTGCTCAACCAAAGGGTTAACAACCAGACAGTTAAGGTGTTCGACTGACTCACGTCCGCTCATTTCTCTCAGGAACGGCCTCATGTCGACTGTAATGAGGTCTGGAGTCTATTTTTAGACCCACCACACCAGCTAATGAAACACCTTTTATAGATGCTAACATCACACTGTGGGGGAATTAAAACACTTTTGAATGAGGCTGGGCTGAAGTCTCCGGGGACAAATTCAAGAACAACAGCCACAGAAAACTGAGATACAGTTATCGAGACCTAATGGAAATCACGCTGGGCGTATGCTTTTAAAGGTCACCACAATCTCTTTATAGCGTCTAAAAGGACGGCGACACACTCGACTGCATATAGACTGCAAAAATTGCACCTTTGTGATAATCATGAGAGGCATATTACTCAAGAAATCGTTCATGAAGGGAAGATCAATATAATTCTGATCATATCAAACGCACTATTCATACATGTGCAGTAGGGGTGGAACGGTACATGTATTCGTATTGAACCGAAACGGTACGGGCGTCACGGTTCGGTGCACGAATTTGCACGGAGAATACACGGTACAAAAAAAAAAAAAAACTCTTAAATAGCGATCAATTTCGCTCTATTCGCTTTTGGTGTGACTGTGAACGCAGCAATGAACAGGCTGCGATCAAGATTGCAATGCTGGAGTGTGTGTGTGTGTGTGCGTGCGAGAGAGAGAGAGAGAGAGAGAGAGAGAGAGAGAGAGAGGCGCGGGCGCGAATCGCGCAATCGAACAGTGTGTGTGTGTGTGAGAGAGGCACGGGCGATGAACAGTGGAAACATAAAAACATACTCCGTCATTTTTTTCATACAGGACATCATTAAAACTGCAAATTGTTTACTTATATTTGTGTACACTCGCAATAAAACACAACATTGTGCTTTTGTCACACTCTTAACTCTTGTCAAACTGTAACCTACAACTGTTAACAAAAGTTTTTAATGGTAGTATTATTTTATACGGAAATCAATTATTTATAATTCAGATGAGAATAAAGTTAGGGGTAATTAAAATGAAGGAAAACAAATATATTGATCTGAAATAGCAAATTAATTTTAAATTCATTCAGGTACAATTACCAAACATATCTCAGGGTCTTTTTGTCTTTTTAATAATTTAATTAATAAACTAATTATATAAAACTACTGTCAGTGCACTACAAATAAACTGGTTCTATGCCTTTATTAAATAAAACTTATAAAAACAATACAAGGCTTAAGACATTTATAAAAATGCCTTCTGCATTTTTGTTTTGCTTTTCACTCCATTGTACCGAAATCATACCGAACCGTGACGTCTGAACCGAGGTATGAACCGAACCGTGACTTCTGTGTACCGTTCCACCCCTAATGTGCAGCCTATTTAATACTGAGAAGCTTAAAGGGATAGTTCACCCAAAAATGTAAATTCTGTCATTATTTACTCACCCTCAAGTTGTTCCCATGAAGTTCTTTCTTCTGCTGAACAAAGGAAGATATTTTGAAGAATGTCGGTAACCAAACAGTTGCTGGGCCGCATTGACTTCCATTGTACAGAAAAAAAAAATACTATGGAAGTCAATGGGGACCAAACACTGTTTGGTTCCTAACATTCCTCAAAATATCTTCTTCTGTGTTTCAGCACAAGATATTAATATAGGTTTGGAACAACTTGAAGGTGAGTAAATTATGACAAAATGACACAATTTTTTTTATAATTAAAATAATAATAAGTAGTTTTCGTTTTTTGACCAAATGTTCATTTGGTTCATTTCCGGGGATCACTTGTTAATATGATTGTTTAGATCAGAATTAACCTCTTAACCGTTGCCAGAGCGTCGGCGCACTGAAGCGTTTTTTTTTTTATTTAGTTCAAATATACTATCAGATTTAATGTTATACCTTGACAAACTATACATCATTAAAAAGATATAAGACTCAAGATTCAGTATTTGACCACTATTGTATTCTGAGAAACTTATAGTGACAGTTATGTCTTAATTTGTGTCAGGAGTTATGAAATGAAAAAAATGAGTCGATACCTTTAATATGAATTATGAGCGTCAGCCGGTCCATTCATAAAAAACACTCCGTGCTGTCGTCATGACAGCGATTCACAAAACAACGTCCCTGAGGGCTTTTAGCTCAACAATGTGCAGATGTGGAGAAATATTGATATATTCTCATAGATTCACATCATATTTCTATAGACAGGAATAATATTTATTGAATTTATACCCAAATGCGTCGATGTAATCATTATGATCGCTTCTTACTGAGATGTGCTGTGTTTTCCATTCATACCAATAGCATGGGGGCGCTATTATGTCCAATAAAAGTCCATATATGGATCATGAAGAAGACCCATAGTCATGTGACATTCCAGGACGTCACTGAGTGATACAGAAAGTAGCTGACAGAGATCGCTGTAACATGCAGATAAAGATGTTTTGAAGACAATAAACATGATTGCAATGATATTTGAGTTACCTGTGTTCTTCAAGCCATGCCAGGTATTTCATAATAATAGATTATATTTATAATGTAATGCTAATCGATATAGATTTCATCATCGTTCAGAACACTAAATAATACATTTTCTGTCGGATTTTTTTTTTATCTGAAGCCAAGTTAGATCACAGAAGATTATTTAAAACACTAGACTTGCGTTATATAGTAAGTTTGGAGCACAAACATGGTTTTAATCTCATAAATGGTCGTGTATTGATGGTGTGCTAAGCTAACATGCTAGCTAGCCCAGGTGCACCTGCTAACAGCAGTTATTGTTTTATGATTTTTTTCTAAATAGGAATGCTTACTGAAATGTTTCAGTGCATTTGATACCAGTTTCAAATATTTAGTGAGAACTTTGATAAAAGAAATTAGGGTTTGAAACCCTATGAATAGCCTGTGAATAGCCAGTCGTTAGTAGCTATAATGCAGACAAAAGAAATGCATATTTAGAGCCATAATAACCAGTCTGGAGAGGTGTAAATGTGTGCAGGGGAGACTGACACTGAATGGGGCACCACAAAACAATAGAGACAATAGACTGAATAGATGACTCAGAAGATGACTAAACATCAGTTTGCTAATAGAGTCTAATCAAAATAAAGTAATTTGACATGATCTTGAAAAACATTTAACTAAATACAGATTTTTATACTTATCATTTTCAGATTTGAAATATAAAATGGTCAGACATGTGGCTTTAGCTGCAGTGCATTTCTAGATTGCTCCAGGGCCAACTTCAATTTTATTTTCATGAAGATGTTTCATAAAAATAAATTTCTAATAACTTTACAAAACTTTGAAGCTATTTAAAATTGTTTTTTTCATTATGACAATAATTAATTCTACATTTACAATAAACAACCAGGTGTCAGCTTTCAAATGAGATCATACTTGTGCTTTTAGTGCAAAGGGTTCATGAACTGTATCTGTTTCAGTTTGGGTATGTCATTTCTGGGGATTTTTCAAAAGTGGGCTTGAAGCTTAACAGGTTAAAGAATCATTCCGGTTATAAATATATATGCATATATTGTTGTGATTACATGTTCATTTGTATGTGGGCATTTATTATGCTGTTTATTTTTTGCTTTTTCCCCTCACTTAATTCTGTAATAAAAATATGATTGTAATGTGCTTGAGATGCTTGTGCTTTTCTTTAATAAAAAAATAATAATAATTCCAAATGATTGCGTGTCATTCTGAACCTTTATGAGCTTCTTTCTTACAAGTGATTAAAAAAATGGGGTCGTGAAGGTGGAAGAATGACTAAATGTACCATAAAAAACCCCACACTACTTACAAAGTTATATTCTGAAACAATTTGATAACATTGTGTGTCTTTAACACAGAGTAAACACTGAGATGACAGACTGAAGTCTTTCACTCACCTCAGGAGACTCGTCCTCCAAACAGAAGAGAAACTCCTCTAATTTCTGCAAGAGACAGGAGGACGAATGATTCACTTTAGCAGAAGATTAAAACAAAACAATAAACCTCATCTATTATTAAAAAGCACTCAGCGCACTGACATTACGGGAAGTGCGCAATAACTCGTCATTACGGCTGACAAGAAGAAAAATAATTGAATGGGTTCGGCCCGTCTGTGTGGGTAATGATTGCATTCAGGATTTGTGTGCTAAAGCAGACAATAATTAGCACAGTGGCAGATATATTAGTTCAACTCGAGCTGATGGGAGGCGACCTCAGTAAAACACATTACAGCTTCATTTCTCATAGATTTGGATTTAAATGACACAATATTAATTATCATCTCCTGTCAGCAGGGAGCAATATTAAAGTGCCCATAGCTGGGCGCAAACCACTGCCTCTTTTATGAGATTCTGAGTTGGTTTAAAATCATATTTAGTCATTGGTATATTGCCAAAGAAATATATATTCATATATATTAGGGATGCTCATATTGACCGTTTAACCGTTAACCGAAAGTAACATTTTTGACCGATTAATACTATCAGTTAAACGATTTAACAGTTAAAAGTTTTTTTTTTTTTTTTTTTTTTTTTTTAAGTTTGCTGCATAGTAAAAAAAATACTATATAGCCTATATTTGTTAACTCACGGGGCGCGTCAACACGCGCAACCTAGTGATGTATATCTCGAGACCGGTCTCGAGACCACTTTTACGTGGTCTCGGTCTCGTCACGGCCTTGACGGTCTTTGGTCTTTGGTCTTGGACCTCTCGGTCTTGTCTAGGTCTCGTTGTCTCAGACCGACATAGTGGTCGGGGGATTTAGCAATATCAATATCCACGACGATATCCGCAACGGATTGAAGCGCGCGTGCGAGTGAAGACAGTGCGGTGCGCGAGCCGTATCCGCGCCACTGATCGCAGCGGCAACGAGCACTTTGATCACTTGATTTAAAAAAACACATATCATGTACAGTTTTTGATGTATTAATATTTAGTAAAACACATATCAGTGACATGATGGGTTTTAACTTCATTCAGGAGATTTTGGGTAACTGCACAACTGACAGATGACTTTGAGCGCACCGCCAACGGTGTGTGTGTGTGTATGTGTGTGTAACCATAGCGACAAACAACCAACTTTCGGATCCTGGACTTTAGCTTATAATTTCGTTTTTAAAAATATAATTATGTATTTAAAAGTTGCAGAATGGATTCATTTGGAGACTTCGAAATCGGCAGAGATAGGCAGGCAATGCAAAACAAAATCTTACAAGTTATTGCTTAGCTTCAACAACACTAGTCTGTTTTTTTTCCCCCCTCCGGTCTCGGTATTGGTCTCGACTTGGTCTGTCTTGGTCTTGGTCTTGTCTTGGTCTCGATACCCTCTGGTCTTGGTAGTGTCTTGGTCTCGGTTTAGGCGGTCTTGACTACAAGTCTAGCGCAACCACACGTGCCTACAGACATATTTCACCGAACAAGCAAAATGAAGCGAGCGAGCGAAAGGAAGTGCTGTGTGGGACCATTTCGAAAGGGCGACGAAGTTACTTGCAAAATATGCTACGCGGCATTTAAATACAGCAGTTGTTACAAGTACAAACATCACTTGCGAAGCAAACATCCACAAGCAAATGAGAGTCGCTTCACAAAGCTGGCCACTCGAGTGAGACGTTATCTCTGTGTTCCCGGGACATCTGTGCCATCGGATCATGTGTTTCCCCCGCGGGTCGAACTCAACAGACTAACCCCACATCATGTAGACATGTTACTTTTTTAAAATAAAAACTAGACAATGTGTGGCTTGAGGTAGGCCTGCAATTTTTATTTGCCGAAAAAACTTAGCCTGGAGGGAAAGAAATTGCCGGTTTTTCAAAGTTTCAAACGGATTCAGTGATTTATTTTTGTCTTAATTTGTTCATTATTTAAGTAAAAAAAAATATTTAGTGTAGGCCTATTTTATGTTTTTTATTTATATTATTTTATTCTGTTTTTCACTGTTGTCACTGTCAAGTGCGTGGAAATTTGATGTGAATCTGGGTTCTGTTGTTGATCTGTTCTGCTGTTTGCACGTTAAAATAAACCTGTGAATTTTTTTTCTTCGTATTTTTAACGGGTCACAGACACTCGTCAATTTTATTTTTATTTTATTCAATAGTGTATTATAATCTTATCAGTTAAGGGTTAATACTCGAGCGGCGGTTGTCGGTGGGGAAAATTAACCGAAATGAGCATCCCTAATATATATAAACATATCACTAAAAAAAAGCATACAAGTATACAGACTTATATAAATATAAAAGTGTGTCCAATAGCACAAATACAATAATAATGACATTTGTAAATTATAGTAGATAAAAATAATTCATATTTAATATAATTTACTACTGGGCTGCCAGAGCGGAAGAAGAAGAGGAAGAGGAAGAGGAGGAAGAAGAAGAAGAATTATTATTATTGTATTACATTACATTATGTTTAATTATATTATTATCAATTGCAATTATTGTTTGCAAGAGTGTCCAATAGATAATAGTCCAATACATAATAATAATAATATACTGTATTTATATTAATATTTATAGGATTTTTAAGTAAATGATACTAAAATAAAATAAATAATATGCTGCTCAGGCTTTATTGAGGATGAAAGTGGATCGAGGAGGAAAACAGTGTGTCTCCTCACCTTCAGTCCTGGAGGAGTGTTAGGAGGAGTGGCGGATCTTCAACACACAAAAGACAAAAACAGAAAGAGAAGACACAGACATGCACTTAGAGACAATAGAGCCCTGCTGAGCCGAAAGATATTACAACCAGTTAGAGAAAGTTATGAACAAGAAGGGCAGAGAACGAAGAAGAAAAGAGTGGAAATTAGAGTCGTTCAGAAAATGGATGGTTTTTATGGAAATGAAAGGAGTCGAAGGAACACGGTTTCTATTGGTAGACGTTTCTCATTTTGTCTTTCATAAAGAACAAGTCATTTTCCAGTGTGAGATGGTGCTGTACTCTTCTGGTTAAAATCAGTCCAAGATGACGTGCATATATAAAATTGTCCAAACTATACAAATTATGTTCATTATCACACTAACAAAAAAAGTATCATGGTTTTTAATCACAGTACCATGCCATTATTATCAATACCATCACTGCTGTTAACATTAACCCTATAAAGCCTACTGTATCATATTTGATACGAATATTACTAAGGCCTCTAAATTATCAATATGATCAAACAAATTACTACATGCCTTCTGTCGTTTGATTGATAGTTTACACTTCTTTTGCAAGTAAAAGTATAATTTTTAGTATATTTGTACAAACGCGCGCCTTCAGCTCGTTCTTCACGTGTGAAATCTTTACTGATTTTTATCAAGTAAACGTAGGAATCACTATATGATATTGTTAGTAATATTTCAAGACGAACACTAACTGGACTGAATAACTTATCCATACATATTTTTTTGAAAAATGTAAGTATTTAATATGATCATCAGCCTTTTCAGGAAGTTTTATTTGTTCATCTCTCAATCATCGTTATATTGCATTGCATTATGTTTTAAATCTACAGATCTTTGATCATAAAAGCATACATTTAAATATCATCTTACTAAGACATATTATTGTCAGGTATAGTGATGACTGATATTTCTATCATTTTACGTAATTATATGCTATGCTGTTATAAAGACCTCAATGATTTACATTACAGGCAATAGAATTTCATCTTACCTTGTGGTCAAAATAAATATCAGCATCTGCACCAAATTGCATATTTTTGCTCAGTTTGGGCATCGGAATAAAATTGAGCCATTTTTTCATCCATATTATATCATACTATTGATATAGATTTTGTCTAAAGGTTCAACAAACGGTTCCATTAAAAAAAAAAAAAGATTTCTTGGACTATTATTTCATATGTAAGTTGGTAAGTTAAACATTTTGATGAAAGTTTACAAAGACAAACATTTTTAGATCATGAATGTGTGTTAAAGGGGTGGTTGATTATGATTTCACTTTTTAAATTTAGTTAGTGTGTAATGTTGCTGTTTCAGCATAAACAACATCTGCAAAGTTACAACGCTCAAAGTTCAAAGCAAAGGAAAATATTTGCTTTTATAGAAATAGTTTTTTAAGGACTACAACAAACGGCTGGTAGGAACTACACGAGTTTCTTCACGGGTTAGTGACATCACTAACCCTAAAATTTACATAAACCCCGCCCCCGGCAACGCGATTTATAGATTATCATGCCAGAATATGCTAATCAATGACTAGAAGATAACTACACATAAGCTACATAAATTCATCAACTATCCATTCAGAAATGTCCAGTTGCTTCTACATGTTGTCACTTCTAGAGTCTGTCCATCATTGTCCGACTACAATTTGAACGTAAAAGGCTGAACAGTTTCTGAAATTTTCAGTGCATGTGTGTGTGAGGAAATCGGAGTTGCAAACACACGCGCTCTTGAAGCTCCGCCCCCTGTGCCGGGAACAGCAGCTCATTTGTATGTAAAGGGACACACACAAAAACTGCGTCAATTTTCAAAAAGCGTCAAAAAGGGACAATTGTAACATGCTATAAAAACTATCTGTGGGGTATTTTGAGCTAAAACTTCACATACACACTCTGGGGACATCAGAGATGTATTTTACATCTTGTGAAAAGGGCATTATAGTACCTCTTTTTTGATGTTTCATGTTTGATTGTTATAAATGCACAATGGTGTGTGTGTGTGTGTGTGTGTGTGGGGGGGGGGGGCAGTGGCGTAGCCACGAGGGGGCCTGGGTGGGCCTAGGCCCCCTCTGTTTTTCACTGTTGTCACTGTCAAGTGCGTGGAAATTTGATGTGAATCTGGGTTCTGTTGTTGATCTGTTCTGCTGTTTGCACGTTAAAATAAACCTGTGAATTTTTTTTCACAGGTTTATTTTTCCTCAGATTTCTGATTGCTTAAAAAAAAAAAAAAAAAACTTGAGGCAAAATATTTTTTAGTGATTATGTGAATTACACTGCGCAAACCAAAGTAATACTACCCACCGGATGAAGAAGGGTTGGCTCTCAGTCTCCACGGTAGGCTACATAAAATATTCATTTTATTTTATTTGCATTTATGAGGAAAAAACAATATTACGGACGTGTTCTCCGTTACGGACGTGAGCGCTCTGAAAGCGGCACTAAAAGATGCTTTAAAACTTTCACAGAGACATCAAACAGAAAACACAAAACCTTTCTTTAGCCTGAATTTCGTTTTGTTTTAATTGTATCTTAATTTTAATCAATGTTTCATCAACCAATTGCCCGGGTTTAATAAATAAGAAGTAAATATAGCAGACGATAGATAGGAAACGGAGGCGCCGGCGCGTGAACTGGAGCTCGTCTCATTAATGAACCGAAACTCAGCGTACTATAAGGTAGCCTACTTGCCTCATGTCTACTTTTAAAACAGAACAATTCAAAACGAAAGAAAACAGACTACAGACTGCTCTCTGCTTATGTAATCCTTATGAAATGTGCATTTTTCTCTGGCGCGGTCACTACTGAACATCGCGAGTCAGCATCGTCAACTTCATCTTAGCCGACAAAAAAAAAACACTTGTTTATTAATAAACAATTAAAATATCTCCTTGCTATATTTTACATATTCATAATCATTACTTTTGCTGATTGTGACAGCTTTTAGGTGCTTTATTGGCAGCGCGCCACCCTTACATGTAACATGAGTCGCCACCGCATCACCGCACCCACCAGAATAGGCCTGTATATATAAAATTCGTATATAAATATATATATATATATATATATATATATATATATATATGTATGTTTGTATATGTTGCCCCCTCATTTAAAGACGGGACCCCCCAAGAATAAAATTCTGGCTACCCCTGGTGTGTGTGGGGGGGGGGGGGGGGGGGGGGGGGTGGGGGGGGGTTACCTTAGTGAACTCTGAGTGCTGTAGATCAGCCTCAGGACACCAGCGCCCCCCTAGAGCCGTCAGCATGGCACAGTCCGCCTCCTCTTCAGTGATCAACAGAACATCTGGACCCGATCCAGGCGTCGAGGGCAGATCCTCCGCTTCTGAGACGCTGGGCTCATCCAGGCCTTTCAGGAGAAGATGACAAGCCTCCAAATCTGCCTCCCAAATGTGTTCCAGCGCTGGACATCCACAGCTACAGCGAGAAATACAATTAATTACACTTGCTTTGATGCTTTACCTTTATATGCAACGACATTCACACACGTTTAAATCTGAATTAAGTGCACTAATACTTTTTGGGGGTGAGTGTAACTAAGGACAAATCTCTAAAACAGAGGAACTTAATTTATCTGAGCTCCTGTCAAAGCTGATGCATCAAACTATTGGAGTCTTTCCATTAGTTGGTGAATTTTTATGAAAAATAAGCATGTATATTCATGAAATTAGACATTTCTTCTTTGCCAGTGACTTTGCAGCGTCTTTTAACTATACGTTTTTTTTATAAGCAAGGCAGAGAAGATGCTCCACTTTTAATATTAGATGTCCACTAAAGTTTGTTTGTTTTTTAAAAGATTTTTTTTTTTTTTTTAGCAAGGATACATTGAACTGATCAAAAGTGACAGTAAAGACATTTATGTAATGTTACAAATATTTCTATTTCAAATAAATGCTGTTCTTTCGAACTTTCTATTCATCAAATAATCCTGAAAAATAAAATGCATCACTGTTTCCACAAAAATATGAACTGTTTTCAACATTGATAATAATCATAAATGTTCCTAGAGCGTCAAATCATCATATTAGAGTGATTTCTGAAGGATCATGTGACACTGAAGACTGGAGTAATGATGCTGAAAATTCAGCTTTGATCACAGGAATAAATTACACTTTACTATATATTCACACAGAAAACTGTTATTTTAAATTGTAATAATATTTCCAAATATTCATGTTTTTTTAAACAAATAAAAGCAGCCTTAATGAACACTTCTTTCAAAAACATAAAAAAAATCAAAATAACGGTAGAGTATAAAAAACTTTCGGAACTATCCAACGAGAAAAAACCTGGTGTGAATAATCCCATTTGAGAACATTTAAGAGAACTGTTCAGAGATAGAAGGTATCTAATCTAATTTAATGTCTAATTTAAAGTTTAAAAAAAAACTGGACTGCGTTAGATTAAACTGAGAGGGGTCATAGCACTTGCATATTGTTGTCCTACTGTTAGTTTAACTGCTTCTGTTGTTCTCATTTGTAAGTCGCTTTGGATAAAAGAATAAATGTATATAGCTATATGAATAAATGTAAATGTCATGTTATAGTTTTTGCTTGTTCAGACTTTTCAACCTGGCAGATAATAATAAAATAAAAAAAACATTTCATAGACTACCCTATATCTTTGGTCCCTCATTATTTTAGAGGGACTCTTTTGGCTTCAATGTCACTATATAAAGACACTAAAGCTTGCTGCCGTCTCCTACAGTCCACGCAACTGGAGTTCGGCTCTTCTGTGGGCAAACTCATACGGAGAGGAGGATAATTACGGTCTTCACACCCACTTTCTCCAGAGACAGACAGCTTCATAAAGCGACAACAGACAACGCTGTACTCTCTCCAGAAACCCCATCAAACCTCTGCTCCTCCCGGTGGCTTTATTCAGCTGCCACACAAACCTACAGAGATTCATTTACATGTTTGTGTTTGGTTTCATGCATCGTGAAGGGCAGAGAAAGTAAAGTAATGTGCATAAAGGATCTCTCCGAATCCAGTAGAATTTGACATGTTAGAATGTTGCAAATGTTGGATTACAACAGAAATTGATGTTAGAATATTAATAATGTTGGATCCCAATTGAAGTTGTCGTTAGAATGTTGCTAAATGTTCAATGTCATTAGAATTTGATGTGTTAGAATATCAATAATGTTGGATCCCAATTGAAGTTGAAGTTAGAATGTTGCTAAATGTTGAATGTCATTAGAATTTGAGGTGTTAGAATGCTGTTAAAATGTTGGATCCCAATAGAATTTGAAGTTAGAATGTTGCTAATTGTTCAATATCATTAGAATTTGATGTGTTAGAATATTAACAATGTTGGATCCCAATTGAAGTTGAAGTTAGAATGTTGCTAAATGTTCAATGTCATTAGAATTTGATGTGTTAGAATGCTGTTAAAATGTTGGATCCCAATAGAATTTGAAGTTAGAATGTTGCTAAAATGTTGGATTTCAATAGAAATTGATGTTAGAATGTTGTTAATGTTGGGTTACAATAGAATTTGACATCAGAATGTTGCTAAATGTTGAATGTCAATATAATTTGGTGTTTGAATGCTGTTAAAATGTTGAATTCTAGTAGAATTTGATGTTAGAATGTTGCTAAAATGTTGGATTCCAATAGAATTTGACATGATAGAATGTTGCTAAATGTTGAATGTCAATATAATTTGGTGTGTTTGAATGCTGTTAAAATGTTGAATTTTAGTAGAATTTGACGTTAGAATATTGCTAAAATGTTGGATTACAACAGAAATTGATGTTAGAATATTGATAATGTTGGATCCCAATTGAAGTTGACGTTAAAAAGGTTGCTAAATGTTGAATGTCATTAGAATTTGATGTGTTAGAATGCTGTTAAAATGTTGGATCCCAATAGAATTTGAAGTTAGAATGTTGCTAGAATGTTGGATTTCAATAGAAATTGATGTAAGAATGCTGTTAAAATGTTGAATTTTAGTAGAATTTGACGTTAGAATGTTGCTAAATGTTGAATATCATTAGAATTTGATGTGTTAGAATATTAATAATGTTGGATCCCAATTGAAGTTGACGTTAGAATGTTGCTAAATGTTCAACGTCATTAGAATTTGATGTGTTAGAATGCTGTTAAAATGTTGGATCCCAATAGAATTTGACATTAGAATGTTTCTAAAATGTTGGATTCCAATAGAATTTGACATGTTAGAATGTTGCTAAATGTTCAAGGTCAATAGAATTTGACATGTTAGAATGTTGCTAAATGTTCAATGTCAATAGAATTTGACGTGTTGGGCTGCTGTTAAAATGTTGGATTCCAACAGAATTTGATGTTAGAATGCCTAAATTCACAGCAATCCCTGCTGGATACAATAGTGAATTTAATAAAAACGGTATACTATTTTTAGTGAAACTTTATCAAATGCTTTAGTAAAGCAGGGACCTTGATGGTTCTCACCAGATGGTTTTTATTGTATTTATGAGCAATGGAAATGTTGGCACCACAAAAAAGACCATCTATCATCTCTCTGCATTTTCTGACACCAAACAGCACCAGGAATCTGATTGACAGGTTCCTCCCGCAGGGTCTGTAATCTGGTCAATTACCTCAACATCTACACCTACACAAACAGAGAGGAATGCCCTGATGGAGGGGAGGGGGTGGCAGGGACAGTCAGTGCTAAAAAGAGACAGATAACTTAATTTTAACACCTTAGGAAGAGACACGTGTGCGTGTGTGTGTGTGTGCTATGGAAGGAACAAGCAGGTAAAGAAGCTTGTAAACTTGGCACCGGCAGTGATACACCAAAACTCTTTTTTTTGCATGTGAATGTTGGTTTTACGTGAACATTATGACACGAGTGAAGCACAAAGCTTTGAAATGCAGCCATAAAATGAACAATTCTTCAACAAATTAATATAGTTCATAAGCAACTTGCAAATATAAAAGGTGTGTTTATCTGCAAACTAAAACGGCTTTGAATGTGGTTCATCCAATTTGAATTTTAAGTGAAAAATGTTGTTTTATAAGAAGAATTGCTCTTTTCATACATAGTGACCAGAGGCTCCAAAATGACCCCCCAAAAAAAGGTACTTTTAGGTGTTTTTTTATTTTATTTCTGAAAGCTTGCAGTGTCAAACCCCATATACGTTCAATGAATGAAAACGAGCAGTCCCACCAGAAGAAAGAAAGTCATACAGGTTTGGAACGACATGCGAGTGAGCAAATGGAATATTTTCATTTTTTGGGCGAGCTATTCTTTTAATATTCCCATTTGTGCCACAGGAAAGAGAGAGAGCTAGTGAGTTTGGTCCATTTATTTTAGCTGGGCGAACAAAAGAAACCCTCGTCGGGTTGAGTATGACTGGCGGCTAATGCCTGCCTGCTTTTTGGAGTCGGGTTTCCATGGTGAGTAACAAGGAGAACAATCACTCTGGGTAAAATAAAATTGAAGGAAAGGGAGAAGAGAGGGTTTCTGGAGATAGTCCCGTGCCACAGCCCCTCCTCTTCTACTCGTACAGTAATAACCTTGGCAAGAGACGGCGCTTCTGGCATCCGAGCATGTGCTATTCCAAAGGAGCGAACGGTAAACCATATGCCATGCTTCCCTCCAGATGGACGCCCATAGTGTTTTATTGAAATGTAATGAATGCTACATTTCTACGGTTGAGTACAGCAACTAATAACTCATTCAATTATGCCAATTTGTGTGGCATTTAGGTTGAGAGAGATGCTAAATAAAAGCTTTGCAGCTGGAGCAGGTCAGAGCGAAGGAAAGTCGAACCTTTTATTACTATGCTTGAAATGTAAAGCTTCTGGTCGCCACTTATGCAGACTTAATACTAAAAGGTAGAAAATAATAGGGCGGGATTGTGTTCCTATTTTCACTCAAACGGCTTTGCTTCAGGTTGCAGATTTTACACTGGAAATCAAATGACGACCCAAAAAATGTTAACGTATAAAACTAAATTATAATGTGCTTATATTATTAATAATGCAGTTAAAGGATTAGTTCACTTCAGAATTAAAATTTCCTGATAATTTGAGAAAAATCCTCAAAAACCTTCATTTCTTTTCAACTGAAGAAAGAAAGACATGGATGAAAAGTAAATTATCAGGAATTTTTAATTCTGAAGTTAACTAATCCTTTAACTGCATTAGTCTAACAATATAGTATATTTAGCCTATATGTCTAAAAAAGTGGAAAATATGTGTAATATTATGCCTATATATAATAGAACTATTAAATATCTATAATATTATAAATATAATAGAATCTATTTATATAGTTTCAGTTGTTGTTTACATTTAGCATTATTTTTATATATTTTTGGCATTATATATGTCAAGCACATCTTGGTTCAACTAAAACAACAACAACAACAATATTATTAATATTTCAGATAAACCCACCACGGAATGGAATGTAAAAAAACAACAACAACAACTGTGATTGGTCGCTTCACATGTCAATCAGAAATTCATTCTAAGTGGGCGGATCTTGTTTATATTTAGCAGCAAGTGGCTCTAGAGCTCTAAAAAAAAAAAACATTTAAAACAGCACAAAATGAGCCAAGAGTGCTCAAAACAAATACACAAAGTGGCAGCTCACATCTCCATTTTTTCGTTTCATTTCATCTTAATTTGGAAATGTCACTTTGGACACATGAAGATGAGCTCATCAGGAACGGACTGATGCAGTCAGCGTGGACCTGAGTGATTTTATACGCTGAAACATCCAGAGAGACAGGACTGAAATAAGGCCAGACAGTGTGAACTGTTTAAATAATAAGGAAAAATCACCCGAGGGACGAGACGAGGAGAGAGTGTGTGAGACGGCGAGATGAGAAATATCCAGTACCTGTGAAGTCTGTCCTCCAGAAGCTCAATATACTTCAGGGTGTTTTCTCTTAAACTGCGCTCTGTTGAGGGGAAAGAGAACAATGTACATCAGGGAGAGATGCTGGCAAATCATACATATTCATGTCCGGTCAAGACGGTCATTTTCTCCTGTGTGAAACTTATTCAGGTCACATTCAATAACAACTAAACCTTTTCCCTTCAAATTCTCATTACTGTGAATGGTGTGGACATTGGATTTTTTATTTTGTTTGTAACATTTAAAAAAACAAGACAGAAGAACATATGCTATGTATATATATATATATATATATTAGGGCTGTCAAATGATTAATCGTGATTAATCACATCCAAAATAAAAGTTTGTGTTTACATAATATACGTGGGTGCACTTTGTATAATTATTTTATATATATATATATAAATACACACACATGCTTGTATATATTTAAGAAATATTTCCATGTATATACTGTATATAGATTTATATATATAATTTATATTATATATAAATATAAATATTTTATATATAAATAATATTTTTTTCTTAAATATACATGCATGTGTGTGTATTTATATATATACAAAATAATTATACACAGTGCACCCACATATATTATGTAAACACAAACTTTTATTTTGGATGTGATTAATCACGATTAATCATTTGACAGCCCTAATATATATATATATATATATATATATACACACACACACATACATATACACATATACACGCACACACAAAATTAACGCACAAGATACATTTTTTCAGTTTAATGGGTTAAAAATATTTAACGCAATTACAAATATTTAATGCAATTAACACAGCGTGTTACAGCCTGCTTTCTGTACGCTATATATCCTAATGGCTAAAAATTCAGGGGGGAAATTATTTCATAGAGACATCAGAAGCATTATTGGTATCGGTGATACTGGCCTTCATTCATTAAAATATGGCATTAAACAAATATTTACAATATAGGCTACTGTCTTAATGTTGTTTCTATGTTAATTTGGAGATTAAATGTTAAAATATTACAATATTAAAATATATAAAAACTTTAATGTTAGGTTTTATTAATCACGATTAATTACAGAAAATATTTATAATAAAAAAAAATATATACACAGTGTTGTGCCTGAACTTGTTCATATTTTGGGCGAACGTGAACTGAACGTACTGTATTACTGCCTGATGAACGTTACTGTGAACTCGTTCATTCTGGTGTCTGTGAACGCACGCGCTCTCAGTTTAACTTCGTTCAATAGGGTGCCAGATTTCTATAGTATGGAAGCTTGTTTCCACCACAGGTGAAAAATAAAAAAAAAGTTTTTTTCTCACAATTGCGAGTTTACATCTCAGAATTGCGTGATATAAAGTCAGAATTGCGTGATATACAGTCGCAATTGTGTGTTATAAATTCAGAATTGCGAGATATAAAGTCAGAATTGATTGATATAAAGTCGCAATTGTGTGTTATAAAGTCAGAATTGATTGTTATAAAGTCAAAATTGCGTGTTGTAAAGTCAGAATTGTGAGATATAAACTATTCTGAGGGGAATAACTTTTTTTCCTTAGAATCGGCCTGATAACTCGCAATTGCAAGTTTATATCTCACAATTCTGAGAAAAGATGTCAGAATTTCGAGATGTAAACTCGCAATTGTGAGAAAAAAAGTCTCAATTCTGTCTTTTTTTCTCGCAATTGCGACTTTATTTCTCATAATTGCGACTTTATATCTCGCAATTGCGACTTTATTTCTCATAATTGCGACTTTATATCTCGCAATTCTGAATTCATATCTCGCAATTGTGAGATAAAAAGTCGCAATTATTATTATTATTTTTTTTATTCAGTGGCGGAAACAAGCTTCCATACTATAGAGCCTTCCAGGCGAAAACCCGGCTAAAACACACCGTAAACAGGCCTTAATATGTATTGGGAAAAAACACCCAATCTGGCAACACCAGCCACCAGTGTTGCACCGCCGCATGCGTCATCAAGACAAGAAGCAGCATGTACTCGACAAAGCAGCGTCGTATGATCATTTAAACGAGTTTTATGACAAGGTCGGTGAGGATGGGAAAAATCTTACATTTCTGTGCAAACTTTGCCAATAAAATAATTGCTGTCTGTGGTTGTATATGGGCTGTGGCAATAATTTACAAAAAATAGCTCGCAGCAACATATGGAAAAAAATAACTATGAATTAGTTCATTTTTGGAACTGTGAACTTAGTTCAAAATTTTGAAGTATGAACTATGAACTGAACTAGTTCATTTGAAAATTTGTGAACTGAACTTTGAACTAGTTCATGTAGAAAGTGAACTTTCCCAACACTGCTATACACACACACACACACACACACACACACACACAAACTTTTAAATAATAGAACAATTAGATTTTTTGTATCAAAGTTGGGAGTAAATGTGCTTGCTTAATGAATGAAAATGCTAAATATCTTAATAGTTCTTATTGGTTTTAGGCTTTCTTTATACACATTTTTATTTACTTTAGCTTTTTTGGATGAAATATCACACAATCATTAATCATCACTGTTAAAAAAAAAAAATCTGCATGTTAATGTCAAGCATTGTCTCATCGAGTACTATTCCTGTGTCCTGATTTTAAAGCGTCGAGCACGTCCACTGAATAGGACACTGGCCATTGTGTCTGTCCTGTGTGAACATGAGCCTGACAGTGTCACATTCAAACTGCGTTCTCTTCCTAATCCAATTCCAACTCAAGACCTAAAACTCACACAATCTCACAGGACACAGCCAGAGAGAAAATCTGTGTTTTACAGACCCTGATTCAGTCTGAACCTGATCTGATGACAGACATGAACTCTGAAATGTGCTCTAATGCAGCCACTGGTCGCCCTTGTGACAGAGCCTAGCTTTACCACAGACGAGCCGGTCAACATCTTTACAGTGAGAGATGCTGTTTGCAACATAATGTAAGGATCTTCAACAGCAGATCAAGGGCAGATGGTGACAGTGGCACATAGTGAAGAAGTGTTGCATGTATTTAGTTTTTCTTGGATGGTAAATAATGCAGCAATCTGTTAAACATTGGAGAGTGGGAAATGGTGTGAGAATGCACATATAATAATAAGTCGAGGCCTGGCAGTTTGTGCACATGCATCCTGATCATCCAAAGCTGAGGGGAAACCTTTGCACTCTGATCAACAGGGTATCCGCAGAGATTTTACTATCAAATTTAAGACCTACACAAGTACAATTAATTTTTAATTTGTATTTTTTCATTCCACATTCAGCAGCTTTAATATTACTCTTTTGTATTCACTGCAAAAAAAAGAAAAAAAAAGTCCTTCTTCCTCAGTAATTCTGCTTGTTTTTCAATACAAGTATCTAAATATTCTTAAATCAAGATACATTTACTGGAGAAGCAAAATGACTTCAGGTATTAGGTCTTGTTTAGTAAAAACTGTTTATGCTTAAAACCTAAGCAAATATCTGCCAATGGGGTCAGAAAAAGATTTTTTTTTTCTTGTTTTAAAGGGACACTAAGTAAGAATTACCCCCATCTAGTGGTGAAATAGTATTTTGCATTCAAACGAATTTTGCTCTCCAGCGCCTCGCTTTTTCAAGTGCGTATTGCATCTACGGTTGCCGTTATGTACCAAAAATGCTATGACAGGATGTCTTGTAGTAAAGACTTCATCGAGTTTTTCTCCGGGTGAACAGCAACATGACACAACGAACAAACGAATGTTACAGTATGAGTTGCTGAATAAAGCAACTCATAAGACCACACTGAAAAACATGAACTGTTGTAATTAGTAGTAATGCCGCCTTTATTCGTTATATTTTCTAAATTACGTGATTGTTAGATATCATCATCGGATGATTCAGCAGTAGGGAGAGGAAGAGGGAGAGGTAGAGGGAGAGGAAGAGGACAGAGAGGCAGTGCATCAGTGGGATCTAGGCGAGGAGATGGACGACGAGGAGCGCGAGAGTCAACACAACGACGACAAAGATGCCCGGCAGCTACAAGAGACGATCAAAATAGAATTGAAAGTTTCCAAAGGCAGCGAAGAGAAACGACCGAGGTTTGTACAATTTATGTGTCTAGCAGTAGTATAAATTAATTGTAATTCTCAGTACAATCTTATGCACATAGCAAATTCACAACTTGAGCTAATATTAAAAACTTGAAGTAGCCTTAGGTGTGCAAACCATGCAAAAACAATCACTATCTCTATATTCTTACTGAATTTATAGGTTATAAAGAGTAAACTTACAAACCTTGTTTTTAGCACCTTCTAAATAGCTGCTATTGAGTAAAGTAATCAATAGCTGCTATTCATCAAAGAGCCTGTTTAACTTTTTTGACTATAAATGTTATACTGTCTATATAATAAAGTACACAACCAAGCAATGACAAAAAAAAATAATTAAGACTGTAACATTGACTTAGCTGTCGAGGAGAAAGCAGGCAACTTCAGCGTCTCTTCTGAAATCTTTCTGCTGCATTAGCTCTTTCCACCTTGAAAACGCTATCCCGACATTTACTCTTTTTTTTTGCAATCTCTGGTCACGTTTCCTTTTTCGTTCAAGTCTGGCCTTTTTTGGGGACGAGGATGTCTTCTCCTGTGGCTCGGCATATGTATGGTCCGCCATTACAAATAATAGAGCGATCAGCAATTATAGGAGTGCAATACAGCCGTTTAAACTTGCCGGGAATGCGCCTCTCACTGCTCTCCTCCTCCGTTTCTGCTGCTTTCAGTCACGTGACGCTGGCTCTGAGTCTGAACGAAAACGCGTTGTGGAAACGCGTTTGGTTGGTACTTTTTGACCCTCTCTGCTATTATAGTTTTTCAAGATGGCGGAACGACATGGAAGCCTCCGTGAACCTACCCGTCCCATGTACATAAAGATAATAAATTCTTCATTTACGAGGATAAGTCAGATAATTTGCAGAGGTATTTGTACACCATTGAGGACATATTTATGAATAAAAATATTGATTTCAGATAATAAAATACCTAAAAACCTACACAGTGTCCCTTTAAGCATAAACTCACTTAAT